GTTCTAGACTCCTTCAGCTGCAGAATGCTATGGACACCACAAAGGTGGCTTCTTGTTTTTATTCCCAAAGGGTTCACAAATTCTGAGTAGGCTTGGAGATTTTTATAATCTAATTTGTTAATTATTTCCAGATGAGTGTGTTAAATGAGCATGAACAACTGGAAGGCAGACTTCAAGAGCTGAGAGCCTGGGTTGACAGTACTCACCTAACTCTGAACAGCAAGGAATGTAACGAGTCAGATGTCTGTACCCTGAAGCTCTGTCTCCAGCAGCATGAGGTAAATGGCACCTCTTCTCAAACATGCCTTGTTTGTCCTTTGAGTTGTATCACTTTTATTTTTCTGCTAGGTAAATCATTATCTCTCTAGTTTTCAGAGAAAGTTTGGTTTTCCCTTTCAGAAAGAAAGTCTGCTATGTTCAGTTTCTTAGCTTATCTTACCCCCAGCTCTTCAGTGATTATGATCAGCTAATTTCTGACAGTCTATGATAGCTTCTTTTTATCAAATTTAACTCCTGTTTATGACTGAACATCTGGTGTTCATTCTTCATGTCTGTTTTGCCCAAGATCTAGCCATATATCACATACCAGCTTCACAGGAGTTGTTGATCAGTGATAATGAGTATGAGCTGGCAAACTTTTTTTTGGAAAGGGCCAGTAAATATTTTAGACCTTGTGGGTTATATGCAAATGGCCCGTTTATGTTGCAGCCCCCAAACTGCCACTGGAACATGAAAGCAGCTACAGTATATACATGATGGGCGACGGCTCATGCCTATAAAACCTGGTTTACAAAAGCAAGTGGCTGGCACATTTGGCCCAGTGCTTATAGTTTGCCACCCCATGATCTAAAGAGAAGCTTTCTTCTTATTAAGCCCTGATTTAATTGTTTTTTTTAATAAGTCGGTGAGAGGTTAAAAACTCAAATATATAAGCACCAGAGGGTTTTTTCCCCTCAATGTTGTTGTTTATTTGGTTATCAAATAATATCGGCCACTACGCCCATTGTTGATCCATCCTCCGCTGTAAATACCCCTCTCTTTTATTTAACTTTTAAAATCAAAACAAAAGTAGAGATGGTCCCCTCTCTGGACCATCCTCTCCCTTTCCCCAGTCTTAAGAGGCAGACAAAGGTTTGTCTTGATCAGATTCTTTGGGTTGGGTTCATGCTCTTCTGTGTCTCATGAGTTAACCTGCCTCCTTCTTTCATGTCTTTGTACCCAAAACATTATTGAGGGAGTAAGTAGCAGTCTGTTCACTGGGAAGGTATAAAGAAGCAATTATGGAGAAAATTTCTATGCAAAATATATAAAAACGGCATTTCATGCATCATTTTCCTCCTCTACTTATCACTTACGCACATTCTCTTATGAAAAGAGTGCCATGGTCTAAGCCTTACTTTCCTAGAGGCAATTTCCCAAATCCTTGTGTTTGCAGAAGAGAGGCACATAGTCTTACAGCCCTGTTGGCCTTGTCTGCAGGGTATCTGATCACTCTCAGTTTCAGAGTGATAGGGCCATAGATACCTTAATTGTTTCTGCTGTGTCAGTATAACATAGCTGGTGATTGCTAAATGTGGGAAAATTACATGTTTTAATTGTGTGATAGCAGGTAATTCTAGTGTTTAGACAGTTCTTAATGCTTTAAGGGAGCAATGTTCCTTTTATTTAAGCTGTAATCCCTTCCATTTAAAAAATATAGAAAGAACATTATTTAGTGTAAAAATAAAATTGTAGTGCACCACAAATAAGTTGATTATTTTCTCAATTTCGCTTACCAATGACTGCAAATAAATAGATGTTGAACCTAAGAAAATACAATTAGAAACATTTGTCATTTGTCTCAGGCCAGTTCATGTTATACTTTCTAAAACTTAAAAAAAAATTCTTTTTACAAATATCTGAAATTAGCAGTAATGTAATTCTGTTAATATAAATAACCAAGGGCCCTCCCTGGTGGCGCAGCGGTTGAAGCACTGCACTAAAAAGCTAAAGCCCCTTCCTCATGAGTTCGATCCCCACCTGCCCCGGAGGAGATCCACATGGCGTGGCAGACCTCTCCTGACCCGCCCACTGCTCCCCTCAGCAGTGTACTTTGTCGATCTGCCTGTTCTGCTCCTCAACTCTGTCGAGTGTGTGAATCAGATTATCATCAGCCAGCCTCAGGAAGTCCC